TGTTTTTTTTAATTCCACGCCCACAGAGTCGCGGGCAATAGCTAGTGAATAAATAAAAATGAACAATTATTTTAATTATGTTACAATATAACGAGTTGTATTAAAATAAATGTCTTATTTATAATTTGAATGTAACAGCCTTTAAATAGCAAAATGACAGACAAATATTGAAAACCGTATTTTCGTTATCAGCAACGCAAATTCATCATGTTCGTAATTTACGTTTTAGATATTACTTATACTGTTTTTTCCAAATACGTAAGAAGAGAAAAATAACATTATAAACAAAAACTTATCTCCAATCGCTTTATATAAATCTCTTTGACTTAAATGCAATGTTTTATTTTTTTTATGTCAAACGAGCAAGCGGACATCGGAAATGGCCGAAGTTTCAGATGCGTTTTTATAAATAACTAGCTGTTCCCGTGCGACTTCATCCGCAGAAAATTATGAAAATTTTATTCCGTTGTTTATATATGTCAAAATGACATGTCATTATGACAAACCATGGCAACCTTGCTTCCTTGAAGTTGGCAGAAACTTATGGTCTCTTTCCCACGTTAGGATTTTTATCCAAAATATTTACCCGCTAAGTTAAATGGCGTTAAACATATAGCCTAAAGCGTGACGTAAGTGAAGGACTTTTTATTAAAAAAAGAATTATTCCAAAATTTGCTGTAATTGCTGACATCTTAGGCAACCAAGAAGTGTTTGTTTACGCTTTATTATAATAGTATAGACTAGATGTTCCCGCGCGGCTTCATTCGAATGAAATCATAAAAACTGTATTTTATTGTTTTCCCTTGTCAAATTCTTAATTGCAAATGTCATAATTATCGTTACCATAATAACCTTGCTTCCTTAATGTTGGCATCTTGTAGTTTATGGTCCCTTTCCGATATGAAGATTTATAGAGAATTTTAACAGGACTTGTATTTATTAGCGATTTGTTTCCTGTCACACCTGTACCACTCTGTAAAGAGAAATAATAAACGAGCAATTTTTTTTCAAGTTACTTGTATTTTAATAAAGTTGATATACAGAGAAAATCATGAAATTGAGCCCCTAATGGCTGACGTGCAGACAACTATTCATTCCAATGTCACAAATTCTTTTTCAGACTACACTAAACCCCCCTCTATAAAACGATGGATGATTCCACGTTGTAGACATTCGTGTTGTAAAAATCCGCCGTATAACACGTTTTGCAACAGGGCAGGGCAAAATGTTAGGAATGTTAACGTTTTAGGGGGTATTTTTTCACGGAATTCTTGTTGTAAGGAAGCGCATTGGTTTACTGTATTTGCCTTGTGCATAAGAGGACTAACCGCGGCACTACTCGACAGGCCAAATAAGTTTGTGGCACTATATGCTCCCATATGAATTACAGTCCCTTTGTGCTGACAGTCAACAAATACGATATTAAATGACAGCTCGGCGCATATTGCGCACTCCAGTTGAAAGCCCAATATGCGTTGAGTGGCGCTTGTTACCAACTTATTGTTAGCATAGCGGCAATAAAGTCCGTGTATGTTTTTTTTTCTATTCGCACAATGTCATCTACCGTTTATGAAATTTGACAATTTAAAATCTAACTAGATTTATCCACTGACGATAGATAGAAGGAATCATTCCGGTTCTGATGTGACATTTTTATGCATCGAACTGTCTAAGATAATTTGAAAACTGATTGGAATTATAATGTTTCTACAACATGTTTTGATTCAATTACATTACCATCTTTTTGAACAGTTTAAAAACATTTTTTTATAATTTGTCATGAACTTTCTCGTGTGCTATTCAATTCTGACAAGAACCGTTGAACAGTGGTAGAGCCCGCTTTAACATCTTCGCACTAATGGGTCGACTGGCCCGATGTAATACAATTCCGCGTTTCGTCTGATGAGTGTGACTTTTCCTTTCCTTTCTTTACTTAAGAGGAAAGGATTGAAAGCAAAAGTGGATTTGACGGTGGAGGCGACGCATATTAAGGGGAAATGTCCTCTTTATGTGCGTCTCCTTCTCCGCAGATGAAGGGAAGGCAACGCATCTGCAATTGCGGATGTTTATGGGCAGCGGTCGCTTTCCATTTCAGTGGATTCAGGTGGCCGCTTGCTCGTTTGCCACCTTATGTTATAAAAAAATTAACATAATGATTAGGTTTTGTATTATTTAATTGTCCAGTCATTGTTGTCGTTATTTCAGCAATAACGTTAATATTTAATAATCAAAAGCGATAAGAAAAACAATTATTTCACAACAATAAGCGGTTTTTGTGCAACACTATCTTCAAATCATTGTTATTTTGATCATTTCTTTGTCATTTGAATCGATTGAGAAAATGTGAATCACGAGAAATTTAATAAAACATAAAAAGGACACAAGCGAAGCTGCGGCGAACAGCTTGTGTACCTACAAAGGTCTTAACTCTTAGTTCTCAGTAATAAATAAACAAAAAAATCTTTATTACTTCACTTTTGAAAATATACATTTCACGAGAGTCTTGGATCCTGTACTAGGTTCCACTGTGCAGGAGCCAGTCCCTTTCCCCATTTGTGAAGAGCAATTCATATTCGTAAGTAATGAATACGCTTTTCAGATTTTCTAATAGAATCTGTAATTTTAAATGTTTTAAAACATTTTGTAACCAGGTTGTTTAACCGTAGCCTGGCAAGGCTACGTTATATTGATCTCTGGAATGCTATTTTTTGTATCCAAAGTCCTTCGTCAGTTTTCTGAAAATTTTGTCATCGATCGATAGTACGTAACGTGAATAATAACTTAGAGTCCTAAGGTGAGGTTGCCTATCCTTTTTCTGCCATTAAAGCGGTAGCAACAAAAAAAAATCGGTCAAACGTTTAGGGTCAAGGAGCCTATCTCCTTCTGTTTCTTGAAATTTTTGATGAAATTGTACTCAAAATGAAGATATTAATGTGCCTAACACGATGGTTTACGGTTGCCTTATCAAAAGCAGTCCCTGGGGTCTTTAATATATGTTTTTTTTTAATTACAAAAAATGTCACACTCACATGACTCTATTAAAGTTAACTTAGGAGATATTGTGAATTGATTACCCTCTGTAGTCTATACATTAAATTTCATATGATAATGTATCGCATTTGAAGAGTGACTATCAAAAATTTAATCAACAATATTCTTTTTGTAATGCAGGCTACACACGTTCAGTTTTGCATGTCGGTTTCGTCCCTATTCTGGCTTCTAGACATCTTTGAATTTCTGCAAAACTTAATAACTTACAGACAAAACATTTATGTAACAACTGTGTTTTGTGTATTGTGTAATTTGGTTAAAATCGTTATGTAAATCTAACGTGTGTGGTCTGCATTACCGTGAATTGTAACTATCGTTCGCTTAAGTGTTCTATTGCTATCTCTTATGTCATTAAAGAGGATGAGTGGGTTGGCAAATTTATATCTTCGAAGATACTACGACCAGCAATACATCGCAACACTTTTATATCTACTATACTAATATTATGAAGAAGAATAATTTGTATTTTAAAATTGAAATAACTCGAAAACTACAGGTCCCATTTTTAAAAATTCTTTTAATAGCTTCGTTATTAATGAGTAAAATAAGATATCCTATGGTAAAACTTAGGTTTTTCATGATTATTTTCTACTATCTGTTCCCGTGCGGCCTCATCCGCATGAAATTATGAAAATTTTATTTTGTTGTTTACATTTGTCAAATTATCAACAGCAAATGTCATAATGATGTGACATGACAAACCTTGGCAATATTGTGTCCTTGATGTTGGCAACTTATGGTCTCTTTCCCACATTAGGGTTTTTATCCAAAATATTTAACCTCTAAGTTCAATAGCGTGAAAATATATAGCCTAAAGCGTGACGTAAGTGTAGGGCTTTTTATTAGAAAAAGTATTATTCAAAAACATGCTGTAATTGCTGACATCTTAGGCAACAAAGAAGTGTGTGTTTATGCTTTATTAGTATAGATAGATTTCACGTGTACTAAGTCGCGAACAATCAGCTCAATCGAACTCAAGAAGTCAATGGTCAAGAGTGAAGGAACTTACAAATAATACAAATCATACAAATAAAACTACAAACAGGAAAATTATTTACATTTGCTTTTATAGTTACATCGTACTTATAAAAAATTTAATATGATCAATCATATTTTTATTATGAATAATAATTATTGTGTTATCAAATTCTTATAGGTACTAAGATAAGTGAAGATATTTCACAACAATAATTATTTTTGTGCAACTTCAAATGTTCTAGATCCTGCCAACACATCATTTGATTAACTAAATCTAAACTACTTATTAATAAAAAAAATAAAACAGTTTGGAAGAAGAAAGAAAGAAGTAGCTTATATAAGCTAAAAAAAATTAGTATATATATACTAATTTTTTTTTACTTCGAGCGGACGTAATCGCGGACAAAAGCAAGGTTATATAATTTACAAGCTGTGGCCCGTAAAATTTAAAAAAATTAGTCGTCTATAACATTCCCGCGTGCCTACCTTCTACCAGCAACTTTCCAAAGTCCCGTCAAGTTTAGGCCAACCGTTCCAGAAATAGCAGCCACGTCGCCATTTTGATGGCGTGGAATAAAAAATAATTAGCCTATATAGGCTGTCCATGTCAGCTATCCTCAAGCGGAAGACCCGTCAAAATACGTATATATGTCCGTTCACCCATGGGCCGAGTCGCGGGGAAAAGCTAGTAAAGTTATGTTTCACAAATCAAGTATAGTAAACATTCTAATTTTCGTAAATCTTTTTTACTTTATTATAGACTCTAACTGCGGGATGGTTCCTGTTGTCAGCATAATGTGCTCAAAATGCATACATGTTTTAATTTTATAAAAATTTTTAAAAAATATTCATCATCTTCCCTCTTATCCTACTCCCGTAGGATCGGCGCGACAGGTTTTTGTCCTTCATGTAACTCTATCATACGTCATCTCGGTCATCACACCCTTTTTGATCATGTCACCTGTCACGCAATACATCCATCTCTTTCTAGGTCTACCTCTATTAAGTGTAAATCTATCTAGGTATAACAATATATATTATAAAGTGTAAATACACACACACTACTTAGTTACGTAGATATTCAGCAATCACAGCATACGTTTGAATAATATTTTTTTAGTAAAAAGCCCTACACTTATGACACGCTCTAGGCTATATATTTTCACTCTGTTTACTTAGGAGGTAAATAAGTAGAAAGCAAGGTTACCATGGTAACAGTAATTGGTATCCAATTACAAAAGCCTTAGTTGGCATTTGTGAATTTCAATATTGCTATATCAATTGAGAATTTGACAAATGTAACCAATAAAATAAAGTTTTCATAATTTCATTCGAATGAAGCCGCAAGGGAACAGCTCGTAACAAGACAAAAATTTGCATAACATTTCTGATATGTGTGTCTAATTGTTACCTCGAATAATTAATAATTCTTATTAATAATAATTAATAAATCTAAAATTATTATTAATAATTCCAAATTAAGATTATCACTTCGAATATCGTAATCGATCACTTTTTTTTAATGAAAGATAACGCAGGTAAAACACCGTAGGTATCTAATTGGTTCTTATCAGTCACGGAGTTAGGGCGGGGTAAGGTGACGCGACCGCCCAGGGCGCCCGAAAAAAGAGGCGCCTCAGGCGACATAATGTAGCGCCTGGGTGCACCTTTTTAGTTTTATTTATATGGGCTTATTAGGGGCGCCGTTAAATGTAACCCAGGACGTTGGTTTTACTAACATCGGCACTTTTGTTGTCATGTGTCTACGATGTCACACGTTTTAACTTTGAATATGTTGCGTAAGAAATAAAAATAGCTTTATTTTCAATTTTTTATTAGTATTTACAAATTATTACAACTATTGATGTGACCACTACATGGGCGTTGCTAGTGAATCTAGGATTGGTCTAGGGCTGCTACTATTAACATGGTTTTACACGTAATTGTCATTTCACATTTTTTGATTCACTACATGGGCAGCTGCCCCCAGTCTCCCACTAGCCACGACCACGTACTCAATATATATCTGGAACCATCATCATAAAACAGGCTGTGAAAAAATATGTAAAATATCTAAAATGTCCTTTCTTCTAGAAAAGACTTTTCTTATCCAACCCAAATACCATCGTATACCCTTCTTCTTCCAATCCTTTTCTTATTAGTAGAGGGGGCTAGAATTTTTTTTGTATTATTCAAATGTTACAAACGTTTTTTTTTTCAACATTAAAACTAGAACATTAAAAGCATTAAATTGTTTCCATAATTACTAAGTATTTTTGAGTATCATATGGACTAGCATGTTTTTAGCAAGAATGCATACTCTCGAAACCCACAGGTTTATCTCCGTACAATGTTTAAAGGTACACCTCCACTGGGGACAGTGAATATGAAATTAGGATCGTATTCCAACTCCAAAGGCGTATTCTTTGAAAGGTCGACGCGGAATTTTGAGAAAAACATCACACTACACACTTGAGACTGCCATTTAGCGAACCGCATACCTGAAATTAAAAAAATTAAGCATATTAAAAATCATGACGCACAATATCGACCATCCTTTCTTCAGTATTTCGACATCATTAATAACTGGCGATTTCGTCCGCGCAGTATTAAAAAATACGAACTACGAAAAACAAGAAACTACGTATCGCTCGGGAACCTGACACTTTTCGAGAACAAGCCATATCCCATTTGTTACTCCAGACTTTGTTTTATGTCTATGCCAAATTTCAATCAAATATGTTAAACCGTTGCAGAATAATGGAGTAAACATGAATATGTATTTTTTTTTTTATAACATAAGGTGGCAAACGAGCAAGCGGCCACCTCAATCCGAAGCGACCGCTGCCTATAGACATCCGCAATTGCAGATGCGTTGCCTACCCTTATCCGACGGAGGAAGAGACGCACATAAAGAGGACATTTCCCTTTCCTATACATATCTTCCACCGTCAAATCCACTTCCTCTTCCCAGCCTCTTCTTATAAGAAAATGGTGGTAAAGAGAAAGGGACTAAAATTAGGCCTCCGGCACCACACTCATCAGACGAAACACGGAATTGCTTCCATTTCACGCCTGTCTTCTGTGTGGTCGTGGTATTACACCGGGCGTGCCGGCCCATTCCTGCTAAGATGTTAAAGCGGGCACTACCACTGTGAAATTATCCCACGGGATTAAGTATCCCACGCCATCCCATATAAGTATCCCACGGGAATCTTGACTATACGTATTTCCAGGATCAAAAGTACCCCATGTATTCTTCCGGACTATCATCTATATCTAAGCCACATGTAGTTGAGATTCGTTCAGCAGTTTAGGCTACAAACTCTAACAACCATATATCTAAACTTTTGCATTTAAAGTACTAGTAAAAAGGAAGATTACGTAGTTCGAGATTATGTTATATGTAGGAAGTAATGTCGCAGTATTTATAAAAATAATCATTATTTCGATAGCCTTGAGTTCAGATAACAATTTATCGTTATGTCGGCGATGAAGGATAACTTTAAACACAGAAATATATGATACGAATCTCATTTGATGTCCTCAACTAAAAACAACAAAACATCAAAACAAATGTACATACCTATACAATTTCTAGGACCAGTTCCAAATGGTAAATAAGCACATGCATGCCTTTTTCCTACATTTTCAGGAGTAAATCGTTCTGGATCAAATTTCAAAGGGTTTGGGTAGTGTTTTGGATCTCGATGAATTCCATAAGCGGAGATGATAACAGTATCTGCTTTGTGTAGAGTGATATTAGTTCCAGCCAGTGTGTAGTCACTTTGAGCGTTGCGATGCAAAAGATCCGCAACTGGATACTTTCTTAAAGTTTCGTCAAATACTTGACTAAGATACGTCATCTCATGCAGAGCGTCATAAGTTAATTCACCGTTGTAACGTTCAAGAACCTCGTCGATTTCCTTAATAAGTTTGTCTTGTATATCTGGATTCTTTGCCAATTCGTAGAACATATGCGTTAAAGTCAACGCGCTACTTTCGTAGCCAGCTCCGTAAAATGTAAAAGCCTGAGCAGCGATAATATTGTCAGTCAGTTCAAGTGTTTTAACATCTTCGTTTTCATTTCTTCGCGCAGATTCGATTACTTTCTGTTGTCTTAATTCCAAAATTAAATCTATGAAGTCTTTCCTATTCGTCGGCATTCCATTTCTTTGTTCGATGACACTTTTTATAAGATTTAGGAAGAATTTGCTTAAAACACTTGAGAATAGTGAACCGCCAAACCTTTTCAAGATTCCAGGATACATCATATCTAATTCAATTCCGTACCTCGCAGTGGAAAAGATTTTGTTAATCTTTTCCAACGTATGGAACATATCTTCATCTAAATCAATTCCGAAAACACAAGCTGCGATAGAAGCCATAGTAAACTTTTCAAGAAGAGAATTTATGGGCTGCTCTGTTTGGACTTCGGTAATCTTCTCCACGTGCTTAATAAACTTTTCACCGCGGTTGGTAATCAAATGCAACATGTTCTTCAGTTTCCCTGACGTGAAGAGAGGAGTGAATCGATGTCTGAGAATTCTCCACCTATCACCGTCTGCGTGGAAGATGTTTGCACCGAGACCCTCTTCACTGAATTCGACTCCTCTGTCAACAAACATGTCGAAATCTTTGACAAGCACGTCCTTTATAATATCCAAGTCTTTCAGCATGAGACACGGTGTGGTCATTCTGTACATACCAACCACCTTCTCGTCAGGATATTTCTCATAAATATCTTTGTAAACCAAAATCAAATGTTTCCGTCTAATAACAGATTCCATGATATTACCGAAGAACGGTACCGGCTTAGGGCCAGGAACATTTTTATTTTTCCAGAAGTTGAAATTTCTCGTAAAGTAAAGGTACAAGAGTGCAATCAAAGTTGCCGGAATAAGGAAAATGTACATCTTGTTAATATCCGGTCACAAAGCACGTTAATGAATGACAACGTAAATTTTACGGCCTTAATATATGTGAATTTGTTCTCATGGAGTGATAAAAATCCTATCCTATTACTCACGTAACATATCAGTACAGTTAAAATTATTATTGTGAAATTGTAATCTATACTATTATAATAAAGCGTAAACACACACTTCTTTATTGCCTAAGATGTCAGCAATTACAGCATATTTTTTAATAATTCTTTTTTGTAATAAAAAGCCCTACATTTACGTTATCTTTGGGCTATATGTTTTCACGCCATTAAACTTAGGGGGTAAACATTTTGGATAACAACCCTAATGTGGAAAAGAGACAATAAGATGCTACCAACATCAAGGAAGCAAGATTGCCACTGTAAGGTAATTGGTATTTTGACATTTGAAATTGAGAATTTGACAAATGCAAACAATAAATGTATAATTTCATGCGGATGAAGCCGCACGCGGATAGCTAGTCAAAGATAAAACAGTATCGAGCATAACGGATTTGTACTGATAACAAATTATTTTGCCTGTGAACAGTACCATTAGTTCCCTTCATCTGGATCTGGTTTTAGATTGGTTGTACAACATTATTTTTTGCAAAAGTAATATTCACTGACATAACAGCTTGCAGTTTTTCTATACCCTATTTTCAGAACACCAATAACTTGCGAAAGTAACAACTAATTTTACTAATCTTACTAAGATTATAAATGCGAAAGTTTAGATGCTAAATGTTTGTCAAGAACACAAAGGCTACTCGTTAACGCTGTGGGACCGTGAGTGTTCTTAGTTGGTGCAAGCCCAACATCACTCATCTTTACCCCTTTAAAGATGAGGATACGTAAAGCATTTCCCCAAGCTAAAAAAGCTACTAAGTTTCTTTTAATTCCGCCGGTACGAAGTCACGGGCGACAGCTAGTTTTAAATAATTTAAGTCAATACTATTAACTACACCACCAGGTACGATCATACAATTTTCAAATATCTCTTTAATTTAGAGGTTAATCAGATTTTAGGGAGCCTTATGTTAATTTAGTTTCACTAACCTTTAGTGGCTGTAGTACATAATTTTGCTTTAAATTAAGAATACTTTAGGAGCTGGTTAGTGAAAACGGGCATTAACTTTTTATATAGGTTAAGATTTGTAAAAGACAATTGACCAATAAAGTATGGACTTTGGTTTTATGACGCGTAAGTAGTGTACGTAAGTGGTTTGGCGGGAATGACTTGTGTAACCATATTACATTTTTTAGAAATCTTTCTAATCTTACTAATATTATAAATGCGAAAGTTTAGATGGATGGATGGATAGATGGATGGATGGATGGAGCCTAAAGGGCTGAACGGATCTCCATGAACTTTGGCACAGGCTTAGAGCATAGTCTGGAAGAACACAGAGGCTACTTTTTATCCCTGGAATAGTTGCGGTTCCCGTGGGATTCATTAATTTAGTTTTTTAATGTTTACTCGATCATTCTGCAACGGTTCAACATATCTTATTGAAATTTGGCACAGATATAAAACAGAGTCTGGAGTACACATGGGATAAGCTTCATCCCCGATAAATGTCCGGTTCCCGAGGGATACTTAGCTTTTTGTAATTTATATAGTTTGTATGTTTTCTTATACCACGCGTACGAAGTCGCGGGCAACAGCTCGTAAAGAAATAAAAAAAATTGTGCTTGAAATATGGCTCAATTTGAATGGTGTTAGTTATAAGTTTGAATGATGATGTGTTCTTCCAATTACAACCTTTAAATCTCTGATTGGCCGGATTTACAAAAGGAACAAAGAATGTTATATCGTATTTTGGCTAGAATAAAGCTTGTCAAATACATCTGTCGCAATGTGGAATTAAGAATATAACTACATATGAATTACATTACATTTAATTCGAAATATACAAGTATACAAAAAGGCAAGTAACCAATTATCCGATTGTTAGATAATAAGCTATAGATTATAGAAAACTTCCTGTTCATTGTTGAATGAAGCAAAAAAAAAATCCCTTTTGATTTTGTACAATTTGTATTTTTGTTACAAAGTGTATGGTACAATTTCTAGCCTTTTACACTTGCTCCGCTTCCTTTTGAGGTCGGGTTCAAAGAGAACGGAAGCGTCGCCATAGATTAGCTTGTAAGATTGTCACAGAGTAAAAAATGCTGGAGTTAGACAGTGTTTCTGGTTCGAACATTCCTTTTGAACCTCCATCTATTAAAATCTCCTCTATCTATTAAAAAAAAACTAGAGTAGGATAAAGTAAAGTAGGATAAAGGGAAGATGATGATCTTACTACTTACTTCTTACTTATATCTTACTAATCACACTAATATTATAAATGTGAAAGTTTAGATGGATGGATGTTTGTTAGAGTCTTAGCCTAAAGAACTGAACGGATCTCGATGAAATTTGGCATAGACCTATAGGATGCTTTGGAAGAACACACTTTGTATTTCACTACTCACTTTTGTATTTTTTTTAATTCCACAAGGGCATAGTCGATGCGAAAGCTAGTTACAAATAAATGTATCTAAAACGTTAAAGTTTGTTTGATCCAAACATAAGATCAACGCTTTCTTTTTGTGTACTAACTTAACATATATCGGCAATTTTTATCAACACATTTTACATAAATCCTTTAAGCTTCACGAAGATATCCAAACAATATAACCCTTTCACAATATAGATCGATCTATTTTTCACGTCAACCATTTCAAAGACCTCACACATCATAGGCCTTTGAAAAAGACCAGGAGAATTTTTCACAATAATGTCTACCTTTTCATATTTTACTAGAAATAAATCATTTTACTATCACTTACAAAAAGGGTAATGTTTTTCGTTGATATGTAATTTTTTTTTTATTTATCCGGATTTTTACATATGTAAACTAAGAATATTTAAGAAATGTAGGGACAGTGAATTAAAAATTCTCACCGGTATTTTCTCCTATCAGCAATTTAAATACAATTATTAACCAAGGATATATAATTAAACAAAATACATTGAATTTAAAATAAAAAAAAAAGTGTGAAATGTATTTGTAAAATTATATTTGAATTGTAATATTGTATTTTTATATATGTAGGTTGTGGCTCGTTCAAATAAAAAAAATAAACTCGTTATTTACTGTTTTTTTTAATATCTACACACTTTTCCCAAAACATGACGTCATCCTCCTCGTTCCTCTTTTATTCTTTAACTTAAAACTAATTTTAAACAGAAATCAATTAAAAAGATAACATATTAAAAAGAAACATATCTAACATCCTTATAACCTCCTTATCCTACATATAAATAAAAAAATAAGTAAAATAAATGATAATGTTGACATGTGGTTTTAAGGCAGAGAAAATTAACAGAGAAAAATACCCCAAGTGAAGAGTAAAAAGTCAAGTATGCATACTCTATATGTATTTGAATCTCTTTGATATAAACGCATTTATAAATCTTTGGTGTTAGTTTCAGACCACATTTGAACTTTACATATCTTTAAATTCTTACTTTTATATATAATTATATATTTTACATGATTTTCATACTACATTATTTATTAGAATAGAACATTAAAAAAACAAGCAATCACTATTTCAATCTATTTATAAAATATTTTATTTTCTTAAAAGTTAACTCCAAATAGTTTTTTATTAACAATCTTGTCGATAACAGAGTGCCGGGTAAACTTTTTAATTTGCTCTTGAGAGCATTTTCAAAGATCGACTTTAACAAGTTTTGCTGCCTTTGAGCTTAGTTTCTCATTAATATCTGACGTTTAGTATAAATGGCAATAAAACGGCAATACGTATATGATAGACTAGCTTTCGCCCGCGACTCTGTACGCTTGGAATTAAAAAATAAAATTAGCCAATTTGTTATTCCAATCTATCCTCTACGTCTATTCAAAACTTCATCGAGATCCATTCAAGAATTTAAGCTACAAACTCTCACAAAATCCGTCCATCTATGTCGCATTTATAATATTAGTAAGTAAGATGTATGCAATGTAATAAAATTGGTATCCTGGTTACCACAAGATCCCGCTCCGAACTATACACTCTATTCAGAAAGTTCCCTTTGAAAGTCGTACCGCAGAATTAATTCGAGTTAGGGAACTGCATCTTGATTGGACTTTAGCCTCCAAAGTAAATCGGCCTGTTGCCAACTTACAAATCAAGTTACAGCCACTGAGCATTCAAGTCTAACTTAAACAAGGTCACATGTAAATCGAACCCAATAAAAGTGCCAATAGCTTATGGTTTGGGGTACGGACTACCGATCTTGCGATCGAGGGTTCGAATCCCGCCATTCGACTTGTCGTGAACCATATCCTAGCACATGCCTGGAGCTTAGTTGGAATGGTTAAAGGTAATATTAGTAAGTTAACAATTTTTTTATTAATTCTACCAATCAATTTTAGTATCAACCTAGTAAAGGAGCCAAGGATATACATATAATTGAACAAAATACCGAATTTAAAATTAGAAGTAAAAAAAAATGTGAGAAACGTATTTGTAAAATTATATTTGAATTGTGAAATTGTATGTCTGTTTGTATAAATAAATAATGGATAAATAAAGCTGTCTCCAAACTTCGTTAGCGTGGTAACAAAAAAATGACAACCTATAACATTCGCGCTTGAATCTGTACCTTCCAGACAAAGTTCTATGCAATCGGCCTAGCGGTTTCCCATACCTGAAACTGCGGGTCCGCGGCGGTGGACAGATAGACAAAAACAAACTAAATGCTAGTTATTTTGGTTATCAGCAACGCAAATACATCATCAACGCGAAATTTCTCTTTCAATATTACATGCAGGGCATGTTTGCTATAACATAAACTTTCGCCTGCGACTTCGTTATTATGGAATTAAAAAAAAAACAAAAGTAGCCTTTGGGTTTATCCATGTTATCATCTACATCTATGACAAATGTCATCAAGATCCATTCAGCAGTTTAAGCTACAAACTCGCATTTATAATATTACTACCTTCTCGGGATTAAGAAAAAAACAAAAGCAAGCATCC